CGTTTTTAGAAACCCTGCAAGTCTGCTCAAAATATTTACTTGTTCATTACAAGGATTAAAACAAAGAGTCACGTTTTTACGCTGTACATACTGGAAATGTGTCTTACCTTCTATCAGCTGTTTTCCCAGGAAATAATGGACATTTATTCTTCCATTCTCTATTATTGTAAATTCAAATAAAAATTATGTAGATTGCATTTATAACTTTGTTGGTTTTCATTTCAAGATTTTATAAAATTAAACTTTGAAAAGAAAATTAAAGCATAAGGCTTTTAAAAATAAAGAATCAAGGGGTTTCTACAAAATAAATTAGATATTTTAAATATTTCCAAAAAATAAAGTTAAATACTTTGGGTCTTTATTTTATTGGTATTGAGTCTATTATTAGAAACAAATACATAAAACAACAAGATGTGTTTGTGGAACACTGATGCCCCCGTATGGCAACTTATAGCAAAGGTTAAACTTTCTCAAATGCAAATCAAATATGTTGGTACCCAAAGTAAGGTCTTGTCTCGAGGAATATACCTGTGAAATATGAAGGCCCTAGCAGCAACCATTGAATAGATATAAAAAGGTTCAAGTTTTTCAAAAGTAAGTCAAACATCAAGGTCAAGGTCAAATGGTCAAAATTAATGGTGCCTAAGGAAAGGCCTTCTCTCAAGAAATATGCAGGTGAAATATGAAAGCTGAAGATCCAATCGTTCAAAAGTTATGACCAAGGGTAAAGTTTTTCAAAAGTAGGTCAAACTCCAAGGCGAAGGTCAATGGATTACAATTGTTGGTATCCAAATAAAGGTCTTGGCACAAGGACTACATATGTGAAGTATGATAGCCTTAGCACCAGCCATTCAAAAGTTATGGCCAATGTTAATGCTTTTCAAAGTAGGTCAAACTCCAAGGTCAAGGTCAAAGTTGTTGGTATTCAAGGGAAGATCTTGACACAAGAATTACACATGTGAAATATAAAATCCCTAGCACCAATTGTTCAAAAGTCATGGCCAAGGTTAAAGTTTGGAAACATTTTGCAAAACTGAATCAAACTCCAAGGTCAAAAGGTCAAATATGGTGGTACACAAAGAGAAGTCTTGTCACAAGGAATGCACATGTGAAATATGAAAGCCAGAATGCACATGTGAAATATGAAAGCCATAGCTCCAACCAATCAAAAGTTATGGGCAATGTTAAAGTTTTTTGCGGACAAACAGACAGACGGACGGACAGGGCAAAAACTATATACCCCCGAATCTTCGATAGGGGGCATAAAAATCATTCATAGGTGTAGAGATCATCCTTAAATCACGATAACAGTAGTAGGGGTGACATGTACAGGTCGGGTACACTACCTTTTATGGAAGGCACTTTTCAACACGTGACTATGTTTTCGTCTAACCCATTCCCCAATCAATTGAATGAATCGCAAAGCATGACTGCATGGCTACTACGTGTGTACGATTCAACAGTGACATGTGGTTTTTGTCGGTCTACTGAATAATACTAACTTGGTCACCGGAAAAAATGTACAGTTTCTTGATTACTTTATAAGGCTGACATTGAAAGATTATATTCCAAAGAACACTGTTCCATGCTCACATTTAATATTGAAGTTAATTAGATGATTAAGGACATAAGCAACGTACCTTACCTACTGATAATTTTTCAAGATATTCTTAATTTAAGATTATAGTGTCATCAGACATTTGTAGACAAAAAATCAGCATGCATTACCAGAAGTTTTGAAAAGATATCAGTTGATGAAAATTCTTGTATAATTCAAAGAAAAATATACAAAAATTATTAAGCATATATTCTAGATGTTTTGTTTATCCAAACTTGTTTTAGAAGAAAAGTACAATATCATATATAGACATTTAAGTGTAGCACACAGTTCCTTTAAGGATTGGAACTCTTCAACTCCAGGGGAAAAGAAAGTTCAACCAACGTTGCGTATGTCCTTAATAGTTGCTTCAAATACCGTACAAACGCTTTGACGTTTGAATGTATATAAAAACATTTTGATGATATTGAGGATTTAAATAATAACTGCGCACATTATACTGCTGTCTAAAACTACGTACATATATATCACGTGGAAAAAATACACTCACTGCGTCTCTTTGAACAATAGTTTACGCCGTTGTATTACAAGTTGATATAAGGCTTCATAAAGAAAATTTTGTAAATATGAGTATAGAAATGAAAGATTATACATCATTTCCAATATTTCTTTCATTGATGTCAAAAAAGAATTAAAAATGAGTTTCCAAGGAACAATTAAACTTCCCCTTTATTTTCAATACACCTGATGAGTTCGAATTGATACTTGTAGTAGCCAACAATGCATTGCGACTCATTCAACAGTCGGTGAAGTAAACAGATAGCTATTTAACTTGCAAATTTATGCTGACGTCAGAATATCCAATGGTCTCGACCTGATGTATGCCTTTTACATTATCCTTTTGTTTACGTTTTATTTCATTGAACGTGCATTTGTGTATATTTCACTTTTTCACATTGACCTGTGCAATTGATTTTATATAACTTTTTTATGCCCCCGTAATCGAAGATTGGGAGTATATAGTTTTTGCCAAGTACGTCCGTCTAGCTATCTGTCTGTCTGTTTGTCCGCTAAAACTTTAACCTTGCCCATAACGTTTGATTGATCAGAGCTATGGCTTTCATATTTCACATATGTATACCTTTTACAAGACCTTCCTTTAGGTACCAACATATTTGACCTCTTGACCTTGGAGTTTGACCCACTTTTGCAAAAATTTACCCAACTTTAACCTTGGCCATATCTTTTGAACATTTGGTGCTAGGGCTTTCATGTTTCATATGTGTATTTATTTTGACAAGACCTTTCCATGGGTGTAAATATTTTTTTACCTTTGACCTTGACCTTAGAGTTTGACCCACTTTTAAAAAATTCTAACCTTTTCCATAACTTTTGAACAGTTAGAACTAGGGCTTTCAAATTTCACAGGTATATTCCTTGTGACAAGACATTTCTTTAAATACCAACAATTTTGACCTTGACCTGGAGTTTATCCTAGTTGAAAAAAACTTTATCCTTCGCCATAACTTTAGAACAGTTGGTGCTCGGGCTTTCATATATTGCAAATGTATTTCTTATGACAAGGTCCTCCCCTGCGTACCATTAATTTTGACCCTTTGACCTTGACCTTGGAGTTTGACCACCTTTAGAAAACATTAACCTTGACCATAACTTTTGAATGGGCTTTCATATTTACCAGGTATATCCATTGACACAAGTCCTTTCTTTGGGTAAAACATTTTGATCTCTTGACCTTGACCATGGAGTTTGACATTTGAGAAACTAATCTTGCCATAAGCTGCCATACGGGGGCATTAGTGTTTCACAAACACATCTTGTTGACAGAAGCAACGAAAAGTCATTTCTGTCGCGCCCAAGTGTAACACAATGACAATGAAGGAGATATCCTTTCAGGTGTAGTCCGTGAAGCAAAATACTATCATTCCAATAATGAAACGGAGAACTAAACAATACCACTAACAGCACTGACCAATCGTATTGAATGTCTGTTTACTAGCGAGTACGTATAGTAAACAACAATTAACACGCTGTCATTCAAAGCCTTCCAAAATACGTTTTTGAATATCCTGACTAGAATAAAGGACTTCTGAAAAATTTGATTTATATCAATTCTTTTTATTCACCCAACAAAGTGCTAGATTTTCTTAAACAAAAGATGGTGAACATCAACTAAAATGTATAAGAAAATGCATTTTTTAGCTTTCACTTGCTTAGTGTATCTATATTATACATGTAGTAGAAGTGTTGTCTTACTTGTTTTCGTGTTGTAATTTTTCTTAATATTATCTCTGTCCGGTCAATTCACAATTGAACATAACATATGATTATATGAAGTGAAGCAGTCTTTGAATGACCACGTGTTGCTGTTTTCTACCGAAGTAAACAATCATTCAACGTGTTAGATGCGATTGGACAATACTCTCGGTGGTTTTGGAAGTCCTGTGTTTTAAATGTAAAGTAGTATGCATTTTTTTAAAAACCAATCAACCAATCAATATGGTAATCAACGTGTGAAAGTTTCGCACGCTTGATTAAGCAAACTGACACGCTATAAGCGGAATGATAGTACATTGAACTCTGTTCAAAGCGGAGACTTATATAGCGGCTTGAGATCGACGGTCTTGAGAAATCTAATATGGCGGACAAAGCTAACTGTCTTCCTTTTACGAATCATTTTCAGCTTTAAGTACAAATTCTTGTATATTTTGAATCACACCAGACAGATATTATCTTATGAACTTCTCCTCTGTGGCCCTGACAACGAGATTTCTGAACACGGTACCAAAAAGGAAGTTAACCTGTTCCTCTGTCCAGTAATGTCATTGCCGACATAAAGTGCACTCGAGCTTCACCATTCAACCCCCCCCCCCCCCCCCCCGTGCAGCATACAGTGTTTTTCTTCTTGTCAATAATTAAACGATTCAGCAAAATAAACCAATAGTTCAGAAACCGTGTCTTAATAATAGCTACATTGCTAGCTAAAACGTTTTGGTGTACTTAGTAACTACTGATCGTTAATACAGGGAAAACCTGGAATCTTTCGTAGTCAATACTGCTATTAAATCACACGAAAGATACAACTAAAACAGGTTGTCAAACTTCTTAATGACACATTTTTATTGATTGTACAGTACCAACCAGACCGAACCTGAAACCCAAGCAGTCCCAGAAAGCAGCCCCCGGGTCTGCTTTGGGACTGGTCTGGGACCGCTGTGGGATTGCTTTCCGTCAAGTTGGGTCTGGTAAGTACTGTACTTAAGCATGGGAAAATTAACATATACATGTATTTCTTTTAAAATTTATTTGCAAAGCATTTTTACAATGAAGTTAATCAATGTTCATGAATAAGAATGTTAACATTTTTTTGGAATTTTTAATTCATAAGATTTTTTGGTCCGTAAAAGTGTGTAAAACAACTTCATTATAAGTGACATATTACACCCGCATCCTCGCTATGACTACAGTCATGAGTTCCAAATCCACTGAAGGAACAATGAGCGAGAGATGTCTCACTACCCCCACAACTAACGTCATCCATCCATATCTGTCCAGTTCTTTCTCCAAACCGAGCGGAAGACACCGCCTCTGCAGTGCTGAAAATCAAAGATATAACAAATATACTAATGAAAACATCTACTTCAAATTAAAGGAAAATAGATTATATTTAAGAAATAAATAACAAGTTTAAAAACTTCACTTGGAAATGAAGTGGGTCGGTCACGTGATCAAATCCTGTGGAGGCCGAAGACATTCTCAGAAGATTTGATCACGTACCGACCCACTTAATTTCCTAGTGAAGTTTTTAAACTTGTTATTTATAACTTATATACACATTTGAGATGAACAATCGAATATAAATTTTGCACTTGCTGTCCGTTGTAGATTTTAACAAAATATTGGCTTGAAAAGCGGTTACGCTTCGAATTCATCTGGTAAAGGATTCTGTTTTGAAGGGAATATTTTGTGAAAGGCTACTTGTGATCAATAATTGTGAGCATATTATTGTCTGGGAATTTTTGTATTCATGAGAAGCGACATTCGATGTTGAAAAGACAGAAGAAATACGTCCGATGTTTAAATATATAAAAAGTTGGAGGACTTTCGGTCGGAAAAGTATGGATGAAGACACTAGTTCGAGCCAGTTACCTTGAAATCAAACTAAACATTATAAAATTTGACCAAAAACATTGTATCTGCTATTTCAGTAAGGCATATTTATTATGATGTAGACACAGAGACACTGGCGACAGCTTACATTGTTGAGACAACGCTCTCGATGATGCACGTGTGCTTACCGAAATGTTCATATGGAGAAATGGTGTTCAGTCTGCTGATTTGCATATCGGCCATTTTGGAACTATAATGGCGGCCGAATTTATAAAGGTTTATATAAAGAAAATACAAAAAATCGCGAATTTTATATCCTAACTATTTCGGATAAAGTTCTTCCGCCGATGGTTTGATTCTTCTTAATATCTTCTTCCGGAAATGACAAGATTGTTGATACCAAAGTGAAAGTTGCGACCGCCATTTTGATTTGAAAATTCGAAGCGAGAATACATGTATATTGTTTTAATGAAGGAAAGAGCGCGCACTGGTGTTTTTATCATTTTTTATGGGGAAATGTAAGTGTTTATTACAAGTTGACAGAGTTCTTCCGCCAATTAAGAAGTGCAGGAGAGAGCCTATTTTTATAAAATACATGTTTTACCATTCCATGAGGAGTTACGACCGCCTTTTTAATTTGAAGACGGCAATTTTTTGCATCAATGGGATCTACTTTATATCGGAAAAACGGTGTCCTGAGTCGTCAGCTGTTATTCACACAAATTTCTACCCATATAACTATGACGGAGCCTTGAAGAAAAAACAAAACGAAACAGGCTTGCAGGTTTTAACATAAAAATATAAAGAAATGGAATTTCGAGTTTATTCAGCATCTAATGAATATTAATGAGAAATAAATCACGTGGAAACAATCTCATGAATAAATTGCACACAATTTCTCCATATGTTGTGCATGGCATGTATTCATTGATATTTTCCATCAGATTTGCAAATTTATCGTGAGTAAAGTTCATTGAGGAATAATTAATTGAATACCATTCAGAGTTTATGATGAAAATGAAACTAAAGTTCTATGTACAGGAAAAATAAGAATAAACGATGAGACCGTGCAGGCTGACATAAAAGTTTTTTAATTCTCTATGTAAAATCACCAAAGAACTGGATTATACACTTGTTTACATTTTAAATAAAATGATTATTATTGCGAATTTTGTACATTTTTTCGTTCATGAAAAGCATGCTGCTACAATTGCTAAGGGGCAAGTCATTTTATTTATATATTATTGCGCCGTGTGATTAGGTCACGTAATGACCTATATATGAGCCCTGGAAAACTTCATACAGGGATTTATCAGTACCTTCTCAGGGGCCGAAATTTGTCCCCATTCCAAATTGAAAATGAGTTCAGATTTTCCCAATTTGGCAGTTTTTTTCCCAATTGGTGAACAATGCTTTTATATTTAATTATCTTGGAAAAACACAGAGTAAAATTGTCAGATTGTCTGTAATTTTCATATATTTAACTCATTTAGCAAAGCTACAATCATAACACATGTTTAAAAACACTGTAAAAACATCGCTAATTTTTAATTCGAATTTCCTCTGTTTTTCTGAAAATCGTGATATTGTGTAATTGTATTGATTTATGAAGTTATTTCAAACCTACTCAATTGATCTATGAGTGAATGGTAAGGACTGTACGCATTATTTCAGATAGAAAAATATATTTTCAGTGTTTTAATACATATTAAAAGAGAACTTTGAGAAAATGTGTACTTAGTATAATTTTTTGCAGGAGGTTTATAATCTCCAGAAACAGATTCTATAATGACCTAAATTCGAATCATGTACACACATGTACTACCCTTATTTATATAGGTAAATATTTTTATACTCATTGAAGACAATATTACTTTTATTAGTCTATTATTAATAATTGATCTTGTATGGTGAGGTTTGATCATATTAAATTGTCTGTTTGGTTGCCCAAATAAGAGTTCAAGCTGGAATCTTAAATGAATTACACCTTAATACATGATTTAAGCAACATTTTAAATTTTTCCCAATTTCATCAAATTGCCGATAATTTTTTCCAAATTCTCCAAAAATGGCGTTTCCCAAATTAGGCTGATAAATCCCTGTCATACAGGTATGAAGATATTTGCTCTCTGCATGTTTACATAACAGGGAGAAACCACAAATGTATATATTAGATTTTAAACCTATCTTTCATTTAGTGACAATCAGGATGAACGTTTTAGACGTCTCCGTATTTCTGTAATTTAGAATAAGACATGGTCTTCCTTTCATCAGCCAAAAAAGTGTTGTAAGTGCTTGTACAATTAAATAATTGCAATTAACATTTTAAAAAATGAACACATACTCTTTTAAGACAATTGGAAAAATGCTAAAAAAACGTATCGCTTGCGCGGGATAGACTTGAGAAATGAACAAATTCTTCATGGATTTATAAAACTCGCAGATACCTATAGACAGGAACCAGCTACCCCTATACATTTACACTTAGACTTGTTAGACGTTTTTTTTCCCAAATTACGTTATTATACATGTTCATTATGTGTACCATAGGAAAAATCGGGGTCGGGGGGGGGGGGGGGGCAAAACAATCGCTTTATAATAAAAAAAACCCCAAACATACACAAGAAGAAAAGACAGATACAAATCTAGTTTATTAGACTCCACTTTGTTTACATCAAACCCCCGCTGGTCTTTTGTGGTTAAAATGCTTTCTTTGTTTGTTAGTATGGGAAGCAGGTTATGTAATCTTTTTCTGCAATAGCTGCAAAATTAATTCCCATACTAACAAACAAAAAAAGACATTAATTTTTATTGTTTATATTTATGTATATAGAAATAGTCATCTAAACATGCTAAAGTAGGATGAAATAGGTTAGATTGAGCATTGAATTCTTATTGTATAATTGAAATGTACTTCTTTGTGTGTTTCATTGATGGAAGAGCCACTGCTCAAGGAATCTTTACAAGTGTATGCTTAATGACATTTACTGGTTGATGAACAACAATAGTTTACTGAAGGAGGGATTCTTCTCATATTTCTTGTATTTAAAAATTAATGAAATTTTCAGAGATTCAAGAAGACATTATCACTAAGTGATGGTATCAGTTAGATTAAATTTGACCGTTTTATTATCGAAGCAAGGTCAGGTCAAGGTCATTATCTTTTTCCTTGACATTTAGAGTTAAAAATTACTGTTGCTAATCATGTGGTGCCTACTTCTATTTTAAAAGTTAAAATGTTTTTCTTTTTGCACAAAAAGATGTTACCATATCTGGTCTATCAGATGATTCTATCAAATTACTTGACGTAATTTAACAAAAAGAGACATTGACTAATCCGAATTTCCTCTGTTTTTCTTAATTTTTTTTAGGATATAATAGTAATTTTTATATACTTCTTATATTTAAATATTTCTTATTTTCACATATGGTAAAGTAGTCATAGAAATATACAAAATGATATGAAAACAAAAAGCTTTGACCGTTTAGTAAGAGAGAAAAAACACTTTTTACTGATTTTTTGCTCAAAAATGTTTTTAAATCAGAAGCTTTCAGAAGCTTGTAATTTGTTTAGAAAATCAATATTATTTGCTATAGTTTAAAATTTTAGGGGATTTTTATTAATTTTAGCTAATTTCAATGTTTCTTTAAGTCTTTGATTGTTTAAAAAATTTAACTAAATGTATTGTTCTGCAAGTGATTTTGATAGGCAGAAAAGGAGATATTTTCATACGCCGCAGTTGCGCCACTAATATAATCCTTGCTGGATTTCATACTTAGCTTACCATTTCTATCTAAATTTGTACAATTATGATGAGTAAAGAAAAACATGATCTTTTAAGTACATTACAGTTACGTATAAAAGGCATACAAGCAAATATACTTGGATTATTTCGTCTAGTCAGAAACCAGAGAAAAATCCCTCCTTAAGAAATAAAGGAGGTAATATTCAGTGGATGTAAAAATAACGTTTTATTTATGTCAACATTTAATGCCGGATCACCTTCTCTATATATGTATTTTTCTCTTGACTATGCTCTTCAAATGGCTTTGCATCTCAACCTTAAACAGTTTTGGAAAATCCATAGAACAAGTAAAAACAACGGCATTTACAAAACCCAACACCATGAAAAAGACAGACCATCTCTTGTGTTTAGAATGAATAACACAAGACAAAGGCAGAGCGGGAGCATTCGGTTATTACATTAGGTCACCAAGATAGAGTAATCTCTCTCTCTCTCTCTCTCTCTCTCTCTCTCTATATATATATAATCCTGTTGTAACAAGATAAAAATCTACGAAGAAACAGACTAATTCAGAGAATTCATGTTTTCCGCTTAAGGGCAGAATAAGTGGGTGGAAAACGGTGTAAGAACAGAAGAATTATTCAATGACCTTCTATACTTTGGCCTCAAACTTATACAAGGGGCTTTTCTAAGTTAGCCATAGTGAGAATTACCACCATAAATTGTGTTATAAGAGCTCAAAGAAAACTAGTTTTCATCTGGAAACCGTTTTTTATGCAATCATGTACATTTTCTAACCCAGCTTTTGAACTTTTGACCTCAAAACCTATAGGGGTATTCATTAGTTATTAGAGGTATAAAATGCATTACAAAGTCTTTAGGAGAACTAGAATTATTATTTGGAAACCATTTTGTTCAGTGACGGAAGTTCAGGTCCCAGAATCATGAAACAGACTTAGACTTAAGTCAAATTTTCAATCAGCTGTAAAATGTCTATTAATTATTGAATTAATCTCTAAATTTGCAGATAGCAACACTTTTGTGAAGCAATATGAAAAAATATTTTAATTGTGGTCTGCTTCACGTCTACAACATTTTAATACAACTGAAAGATTTAAGCTTAAGATGTTTCAAGATCCCGGGACCTGATCTTGGCCTTTACCTTGTGATCTAAAAATAAACACGAAATAGAAAGAAGATGGGTGAACAAGGCGTGCAGAATGCCTATAGCTTCAGATATAAAAAAAAATCATATTCAAATTGTGAATTAAGTATTTAAAGTAAAGTTTTCATTGTTGAAATTTATGAAATTATGATCATCAAAACTTTTCTGAGAAAAAAAAATCTCGAAAAAATTATTCTTTTATTACAAAAATAAAATGGTATTCGTGGGATTCGAACCCCTAACAATAAAAATCCGGAGTATATTGCTTTGAGACTAACACGCTACCCACTACGCTACACAGCTCCTGATGAATAGTGGCATTTAAATCATGTTTGTGATATGACCCTTGGCTTACTGGACTTCAAGTATTTTTCGGAAAGATGCGAATGCTTTGTAATAAAAGTGTACTTTTAATGTATAGTGGGTCTTTGCTCCATTTTTTTTGTAAACCAAAAAATGCATATTTTTATGCAAACTTTTAGGATTAACTTTCAAAAAAATGGAGAGAAGACCCACTCATTTCGAAAAATTTTGTTAAAATGTGAGAAAATGACCCTTTTTGTTCTCTTTAGTGTGTGTATGCTATTTCGTAGGCAAATAATTTCAGTCTTTGTGAGCTTTTTTTAAATTATAGAGATTTTACATAAAGTATACTTTAATTTTAGGTGAAATATCAAAGAAATTTTGGATATAATTGAGATTTTATTTTTCACTTCATGTTTGTCGCACTATAGGCACTTCGCCCGCCTTGTTCACCCATCTTCTTTCATTACAAAGCCTAAAGACTTGTAAAAATATTATCCAGAAACTAACAAAACTTTTTAAAAAGTTTTTAGCAATAGCGGGGAATAAACAATATCAGGCAGAAATTATGTTATATTTAAACAAAATTCTGTTTAAAAAAAAAAAAAAAACCTGACAACCATTACAAGAGGATGGGGATGGTGTTTTGGATGTTTATGTTTTGATATCTTATAATTATAGATTTTCCTTCTGATTTAAATTTAGTAGCACTGTATTTACCCATGATATCCCAGCATCCGACAAACCACACGAGCGTCATCATTATCCCAGCTGTCATCACAGACACTCCCATCTGTATTTCCTAGTCTCACGACCACGGTTCCTTCTCTAGACGAAGATCCCCCACTCAAGCGGACTGAGACTGTCTAGCACAAAAGTTTTAATTTTTTTTTTTAATAATGTCTTTTATTAACTATGTTGATCCGTTTTTTTTTTAATAACGATGTTAAAAATTAAAAATATAATCTAAGATCAAACGAACTATGGACTATTTTAGGGGAAATATGAGGAAAAACTAATCACTCCGGCGGCTGAACTTTGTGTGAGACAACGGGACAGATATCTATTTATAGAATGTCTAGGACGTCTCGGGACTAGTGCAGTAGTCGCATAATTATTGTCTGGACAATATTTGACAGGCTTTAGAAATGTAAATGGTGTATGCAAACAATTTATTTGTATGCAATATCAGGTTTTAGTTTACAAGAAAATCTTACTGTACAAGATTTAGAATATTTTTTTCAAAAGTTTACTCACAGCAGACAATCCCAACATCTTCAGAATGACTGCAATCTTCTTTTGCAAATTCATTGTGTTTACAACCTGCTATGGATTTCTCTGGTCCTCTACAAATGACATTATCCAGTACAGTTGTCCCTCCCCCTTGTCCAAATGGAGCGCTCTGCTTTTGGATGGCACCAGTCCTTCAAATACACAAAACAATACGTAAACAACACCGGCATTTCTTATGAATGATTTGTTGCAAATACAATAATGTCCTTTCTGACATATTCCATTTTGTCAAATAAAATCTGCAACATGACTATTTTGTTATGAATAAAGATAAAATTTCACTTTGAATTTTAGTCGATTGATATTTCAATTTGGGTTGGGATTAAAGTACATGTGGATATTTGAACATAACATTTTGGTATTCTTGTTTCATTATTTTATAGGAATTATTTATTTCCTGTTACAATTTGAGATATATGTATAGAAATTTGGTAATAGTACTTTATTTGATGAAAAAGAAGGAATGTCTTTGAAGAAAAAATTAGTTCAGGTAATTGTCTAAAATAAATAATATGTGTCACTCAGAATATTTGGCATGAGGGATTAGTAAACTGTTTAAGCCTTTAGAAATACAATTATGTAATTTTGTTGGAAAAAGAGAACAGCTGCAGTAATTTGTAGATAGGTGATGTGTTTTTTTGTACATGTACATTTCTTTATGGTTTCTTTTATCTTTTTTATCTAGTGTCAAAAACTGGCAAAACAAAGTAGAATCCATAAACCTATTGTTAGGGGATTAACTTGTTAAGTGGCAGGTCAAATACTCAGGTAATGGTCAGTTCATGTCACGTGATTTTCCAAAGTGCGATTTTTCGGCTATTATTTATATAAATTAACAAAGAAAATTAATTTGATTGGATAAAATTATTAACGGCAAGCGTGGGTCCCCGAATGGAATTGCGCCCGCTACTCGGCCATGCTATTCGGAGACGTGAATAAAGTTACATCGTTTTTAATTTGATCCACGCTTTGCTTTTCCTTATTACAGGTATGGTAAAAATGTTTTATTTGGCTCGTCACTGCGAGCTCTTAAAGCAACGCCTGGGCGAAGAGAAAATTCGGACTTTACACATCCTGTGGTCCCATAATGCTTAGCGAATTGCATCTCGCCGCAAACAACTTTCTCGCGGTAGCAAAAAAAAAAAAAAAAAAAAAAAAAAAAAAAAAAAAAAAAAAAACTCGACAAAAAGTAAAATCACCTTGATATAATGGATATAAAGCAGATTAATCAAACGTTCTTGATTAAAATTAGCACTGTTCAGACTTCGTTTTGGTAATGCAACATACATACGACGTCATATGACGTCAGAGTCTAGATGTAGCAAATGTCACGTGCTGTCTGACTAGCCCGATCTAAATTAAAACTGAAAGGTATCTGCGCTCGCCCTAACGGTTGCACCGTCAACATATTAAAGAAAATGTTAATTAATTATTTACTAACATTTGCAATTAATTTCTAGAGTTTATAAAATTTGAGCTTTCAATAAAATAGAAATTTATTTTAAAAGAATTATACTGAGATCAGGGCATTTACATTTGATATGTGTTTTTATGATTTTTGTTGTATTTCGGTAAGTTGTAGTAGTATGTAGAGTGTAGGTTTATAGTTAGGCACGTTTTACTTGTTATTGGTTTTATGCCGGAAATATAATGTCTTTGTTTGTTTTGCTCTGTTATTATTATCAAACTCTCCAATCGAGGGAGGTAAATTTAAATGTATCCAGTATAAACAAGAGTACAACGTTAGTATTTCTATTACCAATTACATTCTCTAGATTTTTATTATATAGAGTAAGTATTTTTAATATTGTTAATCACTCTATGAGTCACCAGATGTTAGGTAGGTTAGGGCACACTTGTTTGTAATGCTACGAGCAACTCATAATGATTTGTTTTATTGTGCCTGGGGGTCGTAACATAAAGGGTACTTAAGTCTAAGACCATGCTTAAGTAGGACTTAAGTACAGTCTTAAACTTAAGACCGTAACTAGAAACGTGCTAAGATTCAATCTTTGCAAAACTTAGGCGGCCAGTAGAGGTGACTTAAGTATAATCTATTTTTTTAAAACATATATTTAGAACTATTTAAGGTTGAATTTCTATATTAAAACATTCCTCTATTCATATTATGCATTGAAAAATAATTTTCTATATTTGATATACTGGTATAAGAATTTTAGTTTTTCGTCGGGGGGGGGGGGGGGTATTCATCACTGATTCCAATATCACTCTCTAAATGACATAAACATGTACATGTAAATGCAAAATATTATTTTTGGGATACGTTTGAAATATTAATGGAACTTAGGTTATAAACACTAATCATTATAAGTAAATTGTATACAGTAATCATGGATTTATTTGTTCACTGTGAAAACATGAAATGATTTTAAAAATTTTCGGTGAATTAAAGGATGATGACTGGAAGACAAAGATTTTCTGTAAATTAGATTGAATGTAGAACGCAGCAAGCGAGGATTCAGACAGAGTTCACTAACGTTCCAGAGAGAGAGAGAGATTGTTGATAAGTTGGAGATATACGAAAAATAATTTTCTGAAAACAATTCTTTTCCATCCTTCATTAAATTGTAAATAAGAATACCTTAAAACGTCTGCAGTCTCTGCTTGCTGATTTGGGAGGAAAAAATTCAAAATGTCCCTATTGTTTTGCACTTTTTTTTTTATCAGAGTTTCAATTTCAAGTACATAGACATTCGGGGGTCGTAACATAAAGGGTACTTAAGTCTAAGACCATGCTTAAGTAGGACTTAAGTACAGTCTTAAACTTAAGACCGTAACTAGAAACGTACTAAGATTTGACAATCTTAGCAAAACTTAGGCGGCCGGTAGAGGTGACTTAAGTATGTCTTAACTTTCTTAAACATTTATTTAGAACTATTTAAGGTTGACTTTCTATGTTAAAACATTCCTCTATTTATATTATGCATTAAAAAATAATTTTCTATATTTAATATACTGGCATAAGAATTTTAGCTTTTCGTCGTCCTGGGGAGTGGGGGGGGGGGGGGGGGTATTCATCACTGATTACAATATCACTCTCTAAATGACATATACATGTAAATGCAAAATATTATTTTTTGGGATACGTTTGAAATATTAGTGGGACCTAGGTTATAAATACTAATCATTATAAGTATATTGTATACAGTAATCATGAATTTGTTTGTTCACTGTGAAAAAATGAGATGAAATGATTTTAAAAATTGTCGATGAATTAAAGAATGATGACTAGAAAACAAATAAAGATTTTCTGTAAATTAGATTGAATGTAGAACGCAACAAGCGAGGATTCAGACAGGGTTCTCTACCGTTCACTAACGTTCCAGAGAGAGAGAGAGAGAGAGATTGTTGATAAGTTGGAGATATACGAAAAATTATTTTCTGAAAACAATTTTTTAATTTTCATCCTTCATTAAATTGTAAATAAGAATACCTTAAAACGTCTGCAGTTTCTGCTTGCTGATATTGGAGAAAAAAAAATCAAAATGTACCTATTGTTTTTAGTCCCCTACCGGTGAAACCGGAGGGGACTATAGGTTTCCTCTGAGTCTGTCCGTCCGTCCGTCTGTCTGTCTGTCCGTCTGTCTGTCTGTCTGTCCCTCTGTCTGTCTGTCAGTCTGTCCCACTTGGTTTTCCGCACTTTTTTCCTAAACGCTTGCAGATATTGAGCTGATTTTTGGTATGTGACTGTATCTTGATGAGTTACAGATCAAGTTTGCATTTCGTTCCGCTTCATTGATTTTTGACGGAATTACGGCCTTTTCAATTTTTACGTGTTTTCCGCAATTTTCTTCTAAACGCTTGTAGATATTGAGCTGATTTTTGGTATGTGGCTTTACCTTGATTAGTTACAGATCAAGTTCGCATTTCGCCCCGCTTCATTAATTTTTGACGGAATTATAGCATTTTCAATTCTTAATGGGAACGGAACCAGATTACACTTGCCGGTAGGGGACTAGTATTGCTAATGCAATACTCTCAGAATGCTTGTTTAATTAGAGTTTCAATTTCAAGTACATAGACGTTCGGATATCGTGCCATGTCTGCGAGAATGACAATTTGAAAGCAAGTGAACATTTGTCAAACGAAAGAATAACAACAAACGGTAAACTGAAAACATCGCAGTCTCGAGTGATAAACAATATTCACGCATTTACAATGAACCACTAGTGCCACTTTGTGACCGTGCAATATTTGTTTTCAAATACACTGCATTTTTGTACTTAGTATTTATTAACGAATTGATTAACACGTTAGAACAATCCTCAGCATGTACGAAATTACTCAATGTTGCAAGCAATTGTCCCTCACTGGCAGATGACATCTCTTGTATAGGATTAAGCCCCAACTCTCTACAAATCATGTTAAATGTTGCATATGAATATTCCAGGAAATGGCGCTTTAAATTCAACGCATGCAAATCTTGTATTCTTCGATTTCGAGCTAAAGGTAATAAAACTAATCAGCAACTCATTTGGACTTTAGGTGATGTTCCTATTCCCTGTCTAGATTCCTGTAGTCACTTAGGAATTATTCTAAACAGAAATTGCTCCTTAACAGATCGAATAAATGCTGCCTGCAGGAAAGGAAGAAACTCTTTTTACGCTCTCACAGACATTGGATCTCCTTACCTTAATCCATTAACCTTAGTTCACCTCTACAAATCGGTCATCCTGCCTTCCGTATTGTACGGCTGCGAACTGTGGAATAATCTATCAGCAACAGATTCTCAACGTCTTCATGTCTTTCAACATTCTATATGTAAGACTTCACAGAACCTTCCACGTCAGTCTAGATCCGATATCTGCGAAAGCCTCTTCAACGTCCTTCCAATAAGTGCTGAGATAGACGTAAGGAAACTCTTGTTCTTTGGACGTCTCTGTCGTATGAACTGTAATTTTTTGCCAAAGAAAATATTTTTAGTCCGTTTATTTTCCTTCCTTGCAAAGCTAAGCAACTGCCAACAAGGATTTGTTCCAGATGTCGTTAAATTACTGTTTGCATATGATCTTGTTCAATTCTTGCACGAGTGGGTAGCTGATGGCGTGTTCCCTTCCAAACTTACTTGGAGAAACATTGTGAGATCCACAACCAGCAGAAAACAGAAGGATCTTAGACAACGTCGCATGGCAATCAACATAGATTTTTCGAGGTTTCTAGCAGTTTTCAGTGATAGTAATCCATCTTCCTTCTGGCAAACGCCAAAAAATTGTTATGAAATCCGCTTATACAAGTTTATATGCAAACTCCTTTCCGATCCACCGCGTGATTCACTGAATATCTGCCATTCCTGCGGGGCTACATTCCATGACCTGTTTGTTCATGTCAGCTGTTCGTGCCTCATCACTTTGGACATCCGGAACAACTGGTGGAGTGACATAATTAACACCTTTCCTGTTGAACTGTCAGCTGAACTGTGTGTGCTCACCGAAGAAGATCTATACGTAATACTCCTCGGTCGCACTCCAAACACCAGGATAGAAGCACACAATATTGTAACTTTCAAAATAAGGAACTATCGACTTATACGGGATGCGTCGGCACATTACTATAGGGTAATGCATCAACATATGCCAGTGGGGGGCAATTGGTAATCAGAGTACAATTATTTGAAGTAACACACTGACAATTGTATATAACATTGTTTATTTATTTTTCATTTCTGTTTTCTTTTTCCTTTTTGTTTGGTTGTTTTCTTTTCTTACTTTGTATATTTTGTATAATGTATAGTTGATTTTGTTCTATATATTATCTCATGTCATGAGGAAATAAAGAATGAATGAATGAATGAAGTCAAAATACTTAGCAAGCTTTATGTTACGACCCCTCGGTTATCGTGCCATGTCTGCGAGAATGACAATTTGAAAACAAGTGAACATTTGTCAAACGAAAGAATGACAGCAAACGGTAAACTGAAAACATCGCAGTCTCGAGTGTTAAACAATATTCACTCATTTACAGTGAACCACTAGTGCCATTTTATGACCGTGCAATATTTGTTTTCAAATACATTGTTTTTCGAATAATTTAAACAGGATTAACTTTAATTAAATTCGAAATCTAATCTAAAATAGCTAAAACCGATAGGTAATGACGTCAGCTTTAATATATATGTGATTAAAAACGTAACTAAATCATTTTTACAATTATATATATATATATATTGAAAAACTAGGATGATTTATAAAAAATATTTTGAACATAATTTTGACTTAGCTAAGACCTAGCTAAGTCCGTTTTATGTTACGGTTTAAGACATACTTAAGTAGTACTTAGTCAGGACTTAAGATTGCACCTAAAACATACTTATGACACTACTAAAGTCAATACTTGGCAAGCTTTTTTTACGACCCCCTGGTGACTATTTGTTGTAGCATTCTATTCGGAGACTTGAATAACGTTACATCGTTTTTTATTTGATCCACGCTTTGCTTTTCCTTATTACAGTGCACTCAAACCTAAACTGGACCTGGTGGCAGAAAAGCAGAATCATTATAACTAAGGATTTCTCACAACCGAGCGAGTTACACAAATTCCCAAAGTCAAAAGGGCGACACGACAACACCTTTATTTGATATTTAATACTCGGTCTGTATTTGTTTTTGTTTCGATAAGAAAAAAATATTTATCTTATTAATAGAATATTTTTTTTACAGTTCCTTTTTGACCACACATAGAGTATTTGGTTGTTTTGTTTTAAAACGCATTGCAAGAAGGCGATCCCTTTACATGTACAATGTACATGTATATGAAAAATTTTGAAAGCCACTTTGTTTCTGTACAGAATGCAAAATCCTGTGTATTTCGCACTACTTGTGTTTAAGATGAATGATAAGAAAAAATGTGTGGAACGGTTATATATTATGATAAAAAAAAATAAATCTAACTTTTATAAGAATCAATTTCAATGATTAAAACAATTTTCAAAAACAGTAATTCATGACGTTACCAAGCAAATCCCAACTGGCGACAAATGACCTCAGCGTTAGTGTCAGTAAATAAATCATCACAAACAGTTCCCCAGGCGTTATGGTATTTCACTTCGACACGCCCTTCGCCAGTGTGACTCCCACCAACAAGTCTTACACCTGCGATTGGTAGAAGTGGAAACAAAAAATAAGTATTCACTCCTGTATGTAATTTTTTTATTACCTAAATGACTGTATATTACGTTAAAAATGCAATCTGTAGTCGTTTATACATATAGAGGCTCGAATTGTTTATTAGCCCAACATTTAAATTTCACTGTCATCAAATTGGAATAAAAGAGGAACATTAAATGCCCACTATTTGGTGTCAGGCCTTTTACAACAACAACAAAACCTTAAATACAAAAAAGAAAAGAGAGAATTATATTTTCATAATGGTATTAAGAAATTAATGATGAACTTACTAGGAATGACCTCCACTTCCAAATTATGTACACGGGAATCCATACTTGTAATATTGGTATTTAGTCGCGATAGTGTATCAGAAACCCTTCCAGAGACTGAAGAATATTGTGTCGATAGCACTGATAGTTGGTGTGACGTATGTTGTCGATCCTGAGACACTGTGCTTTGAAGAGAACTCAGCCTGCTCTGTGTAGTATGTAGGTCACTTGACAAAGTTGTAAGCCGATTCTCATTGTTGTGCTCTTTGGACGAGAGTGTATTCAAAGACTGTTTGATCGCAGAGATTGAATTTATGTTGGTCGTAACTTGGCTGGTCGTTTGCGAAAGAGTGCTCAAAATTGTCCCATTTAATATGCTTATTTGCCGCCTAAATTCAGCTTCAACATTATTTATCTTGCTTTCTTGCGTAATCAGCGACGACGAAAGGAAATGGACGGAGTTTGCCATTTTGTTAATTTTCATTGCAAGATCGGTTGCGTTTGAAATATTGGTGAGTCTGTGATATTCATCCATGATTCGCTGAACGTAGACCTGAAGAAGGGAAATATCACTGCGAAGACTTTGTGTTGACGGTGACTGTTGTGTGAAATTCAAAAGATTTTGAATTATGGTAGCTTGCGTCTGCAAGGTTTTGTTTTGTTGTTGAATATTCATCTGCAAAAGGTCCATCTTTTGAAGCATGTAAGCAACAGTATTTGCATCGTAACCAGAAGATGAACTGGAAAAGTTCGTCAAGAGTGGCTTGTTCGTGTTCAGTAGAAAGCTGTTAACCGAAATTGTTTGCGCAAGTGCAACAAACACAGAGAAAAAGAGAATCATTCTGTTTTACTAGTATGGATGCGAAGAAATAATTGTACTACTCTCAGACAGAAAGGCACCCGTCTTTTAAACATAAGTCATATCAATCTGACCCAATAAATATTGTCTAATGCCATTCTGAGGATAACCTTATTCAGATATCTTGCTTCCTATCTTAAATTTCGACTCAAGTTCGTACACGTTATGAAGTAACTTCGCTCATGATGGAACCTTTAGATTTAGAAGGAACATAGTTGCATGTTTGCGAAACCCTCTAAAACTCGAAATAACAGATATAATGTCTAAAAATACTGAAAAATAAATGGAAAAACAATTGATGTCACTTCAAAAACAAAGATAATTACCAATCTTTTCCGTTCTTCTGGATACGAGTTAAATAATTTCTTTCCAGCTATCAACATACTCACACCTGTCGTCGTCTTTTTTTTTAATTTGGAGTTGATTTATAATAGGGTCGAAATCTTTTTTTTTTCAAGGGAAAAATAAAACCACATGTTTGACTTACCTTTAGGGACATCGTTTGAAAGTGAAATTAGATGCTGTCACATGACAGTAATACCCGCACGTAAGTGTTTGCCTCTGATGGTACTCACCCTTGTGTCTGGGTAGCGAAGAAGCCAGTTATTCTATATTCTAATTAAATACATGCATGTACAGTGTATACATGTACTAAACTGAACATAAAATGCACAGGTGAGCAAGGTCCTTGAGCTAATATGTCAGTATTTCAAATGAAAAAATCATAACCGGTCTGAAATTAAAGATTTTGAAGAAGTAAATTCTATTAAAGAGGGATTTAAAAAAAAAAATGAATGTTTATCTGTTCAGAGAGGGATAGAAAGAGAAAAAAAAATTCGCCCCATAATTGGAAATCTGTTGTTAAAAACAGCAATATTTTTAACTGTACGGAAACTTCGATGAAATAGAAAATTTTAGATACCGAAATGAAATGTTAAAAAATGAATTGAGCAAACTTATTTCAGTTCAATGGGGGAAGGGGGGGGGGTGTCCAAACCCTCCCGGGTATCCACTTATATTTCGTCCTAATATACCCTCATTCCCAATTTACAATTCAACTGTTTTCCTGTCATATTTGCCTCAGCTTCCCCTCTTTGGAAAGTTTCTACATGCACGCCTGGTGTTTTAACAGCCTCCGAAATTACAGTATCCATCCCGAATTTCAGTGGTACTAATTAGCCATAATCTTTAATTTGCACATAGTGCTTGTTTCACTTACATAACGGATTTTTTGCATAATCTATACTATTTTGAAAAATCCTTAACCATATATTTTCCTATTGCTAATCAAAAGATACATTGAGTGATTGTTAGTCAAAAAACCACCAGGTCATCTAAACCCCCCTTTTTATAAATGGTATATTTTCCAAACAGTTAAGATCTCCACCACTAAAACATACATTTTCTTGCTGCACATGACAAGATACATTGAAGTATTCTGTTGGGCAAGGACCATTGGTCATCCTAAATACCTCTCATTTTATGATTTTTTAAAAAAATCTTTAAAATGCTTGAGATCCCCACTACTAAACCAGATATATTGCTATACGCGTCAAGGTGCATTGGGTATTTTGTTTGGCAAGTACCAAATGGTTACCTCATTTTATGATTGTTCAAATATCTCTTACAACTCTTGAGATCCACATCCCTAAACCATATATATTCCTGCATTGAGTATTATGTTGGGCATGTGCCCTGGGGTCATTCCAATCCCTTTCGTTTTATAATTGCTTAAACATCTTATGAGTGAGATTCCCACCCTTTAACATAATATTGATGCATGTTACACGCAAAAGTGGCATTGTGTTATGTAAGGCAATTGCCGATTGGGTTATCCCCCCCCCCCCTTCAGGAAAAAAAAAAGAAACTTTCGAGACCATATTGCATTTCTTCAGGACACCATCAATCATATTCCAAGAGATTTGCATACAGGTTAAATGTAAGACGAATTCTGAGAACTAGGTTTTTGTGTAGTTAAAAAAGTCGTCATTCGACACCCCCACCCCTCACCCCAATTACTATTGCGGATGGAAAATGAAAAGTCTGAAACCTAACTGCACATCTTCGAGACATCAAAAATCATTTTGCAAAAGTTGATTTGAATACCGCGTAAATTGTAAGAAGAATTCTGTGAACAGTTTGAGAGAAAAAAAAACATTGGTTTTTTTTTTTACCCCAATTGGTCTCGCAGATGAATAGAGAAGTCTGCAACCTGACCGCCAATTTACAAAGACACCACCAATCATCTTGAAAAACTGACTTAGCTACTGCGTAAAATATCAGAGGAATTATGGGTACCAAGTTTTTGAATAAAAAAAAGTCGGTTTTCGACCTCCATTTAGCCCCTAGGATGAAAATAGTGTGACAAATGGACGGACTGATGTAAAGATGAATAATACCCCCCCCCCCCCCCCCCAATAATCACCAGGAGTTCATATTTTAGCATCGAAAAATGACTCTTGATCTTTATTCGACGTCGAAAAATGACCTTTTTGTCTGTAGAAAAAGTGGCATTACCCCTGTGTACCCTAAGTGAAGAAAAATAAGCCCCGTATAATAATGACCCTTAATAGATTTTATAAGGGATATATTTTTTTTTCTTTTTGGTTAAGAGGACTAAGAAATATAAACCAAAGCCCCTTGCGCCAAAATGCTCCCTTGAAGGAAATTAGGGATATAGCGAAAAAATGATTTGTCTTTTCTGATAAATTATTCGTCTTCAAACTAGACAATGTGGAAATAATGATTTGAAAAATGTATCTTTGTTTTAGAGATTTAAAAAAAATTCCCTTATATATTCCAGAGAGAAGGGGGGAGCGAGAACAATTATATATTTTTTTTCTGGGCTTCAACGACACAGTACTATTTGAATTTATTCGGATCGTATTTATAAAAGTCATGGCTTTCATGAATTTTCGTAAATTTGTTAGTTACCAAGATTCTAAACCAACAAAATGTATTTGCTAGCAAATTCATTATAATGACACAGGAATTTTTGAAATTCTGACTTGAGACAAGCTATTAAAAACCCTGTAACATTAACTCATTTGTTAGTACCCTGCCTCTGTTTAAAAGTTTATCGTTCTTGAAGCATTCTGTTGCTTACCAAATAGTTTGAGAGACAAAACACTATATGCAGGCGATAGTGGAATATATTAATACATTTCCATTTAAAATAAAAATATGAAAATGCACGGTACACGGCACATGGTACATGGTACACAGCAGAATATATACATACATACATATATATATATATATATATATATATATATATATATATATATATATATATATATATATATATATATATATATATATATATATATATATAATATTTTATATTTCAAAGATGACATTGCGATTAGGAAAATAAATTAAAGTTGGCTAATTGTTTAAACTAATGGAATTGGGTTCTTTATTTTTACTTATGCACTTTTATTCACATCAATATTGTTTTGATTTGACAGATATTAAGAATAAATGAAAAACCAAGAAAATGCGATGCACAGAAAAGTTCAATGTAATGGAGTTAGATAAGGAATGCTTTCCTCTTGAAGAAAAAAATATAATTTTTTTCCGCTCATGAAACAAATTACTTCGCAAATTACATGCATTGAATGTCTTTAGACTAGATGTTTTTCATGCTAGACATGAAGATGATGGAGAGTAAGAGGTCCATTGGCTAGTTAAATAATTTATTCCACTGAAATTACAAGAAAGACTCACAACTTATATTTTTATTCTTGAAAACGTTATCTTTTAAACATTGGTGATACCATTTTGTCTAGAATGTTTCTTTACAATCCCCTCCAAAATAATCTGAAAGATTACACGATTTCTTGAGAAAGATAATTTTGACATGAAAAAGTGTTCTGCAAACAATGATGAACTGGATCAGTATAAGGAGAGATATGAAAGTAACTAGGTGAAGTATTTTTTTTGATTTAGTAATAAGTATAGTAATTATGCGTAGAAAATTAATCACACTTTTGTGTATATAGGAATGATGCAGAGCAATTGTAATTAATATTGCATTTTAATTTATGTTGTAATTCTCGTAATTGGATTAACGTTTACTCTACATGCGTACTTTTAGTTTTGACAATATAAAAACCATAAATTGTATTCACAGTTACGATCCCTAAAACACTCCTTGGGGGGGGGGGGGGTCTTCATTGTGAATCACTCAGGAAGGACGTGTACAGTAGAGCATTTTTCGTCTGATGTAAAGAGGGCAAAATAAAAAAAATAATCAAGGTAATGTCAATTTGAAAGACCTTTAGTCACTTAGTAGTTTTCAATACTGTTTAACAAAAGAATCGTAAACACGAATCATAAAAAAATCGTAACCTTTAAGATCCAGGTGAACTTAAAATTCATCCAAAAATGACTTTTAATACATATAGTCAGTGCATACTATCTATCCAAGATACATTGCTAAAGTCACAATATTGCTCTATACAAGTATAGTTCCATTCATGAATAGCAGATAATATACATGTATTTTGAAGCGTTTTCAATATCAATGTATTAGTCAGCAAATATAAAAGTAAATGATGGGGGGTGTAGGGTGTCATTTTTCTTAGGCATAAAAGATGATTATTGATATTCATACACCTGCTTCCTCTTAAGGGCCGAAATTTTTAACCGTACGGTTTTGTAAGATATAAGGGGAAAGACTTAAAGGGGGAGGAAGTAAGCACCGCCTTCAAACTTACCTGGTCTGTGAACCCCTGTCAATCATTTGAAATTAAGTCTAAGATTGGATACTTGAAATTGATTGACATTTAGTTTTCCCCCCTTCTGTATACCTTGTCTGGCTATCGTACCGACCATTGAATTAAAATTCATGCTTTTGATGCCTACCGCATGCATGCTAACGTGATAATTTAAGAAGCATCCAGAGCTGACATTTTTATTTTACCTCAAGACACTAGAATATGTTATATAGATAATCAATCTGTCAGATAATTAAATCATTAATTAAAAAACGCACATTT